CCTGCCCGGCGACCCCCGCCTCGCCGGCCCCCCGGAGGACGCCGGCCCCGCGGCCTCCGCCTCCTTGCACGGCAAGTCCAAGAAGAAGTCGAAGAAGCACAAGGACAAGGAGAAGCCGAAGGAGAAGGAGAGGAAGGCCGGAGAGGAGCCGGGCACGGAGCAGAGGAAGAGCTGCGAGCCCCCCGGTGGGTCCGAGGCCCGGCAGAGCGGCGCCCCACAGAGCAGCACGGGTAGGCGCTTCGGCGTGTGTGCGTTTCGTTCCCCACACCCACCCGTTCGCGAGCCGCCGCCATCGCCCTCGCCCGGCGCGCGGGCAGCTCTCGCCAACGCCACCGCCAGGCTCCGACCTCGGCAGCGCCCGGCCGGCATTCCTGCCCCCTGGGGGCTCGGCACCAGCTGACCGGTGTCGCGGTCCTCCTGGATGTCACCGGCAGGAACAGGGGCCATGTGCAAGTTCTGTCTTTTTCCGCAGCCTTTTCTCCTGGACTCGGTTTGTCCATCTTTGGCAGCGTTAGCGGTATTGGTTAGTCTTTTGCTGTTCTTGCAGCAAGTATGAAGCATTGCTTCAGTAGGTAAGACGGATAAAATTACACGGCTCCGATTACCACACGCTTGACAGGCCGGACTCTTTTGGTGGGGGTGGGGGAAAAGAGATCAAAATAGATCAGAAGGCACAGGCTGTTACTGGACCTGCGTCAAGGAGAAACGCTGCCAGGGTGTAAGTTTTTGATTATCTCAAGATGTGGATAATCAGGAGACTACAAATGAAATGAAAATTTCCTGATGGAGATCTATGCACATGTTGAAGATGGCTGGGCCTTGCAAATATACAGGTTATGAATGTTAACAATACGCACATATGTGGTTTCTAAGGTGTGGAGTTGGCTACAAACGATAACAAAATCCTGCCTTTGCTTTTACTGTGTGTTGGTGAGACACATATATTGCCAGCAGCCATATCACTCTGCAACTCACAACTGGCAGCCCACTGAAGCTAAGCAGGTGTGAGCCTTGTCAGTACCTGGATGAGAGACCTCCTGGGAAAAACTAAGGCTGCTGCTGGAAGAGGTGTTAGTGGGGCCATCAGGGGGGCGCTCACCCTGCGGTCCATGTGGGTCCTAATGCCCCAGTATAGTGACAGGGACACTATACTGTTAACAGGCACCGTCTTCCGGATGAGACGTAAAACCGAGGTCCTGACTCTCTGTGGTCATTAAAAATCCCAGGGCGTTTCTCGAAAAGAGTAGGGGTGTAACCGCGGCGTCCTGCCCAAATTTCCCCCTGGCCTTTACCAATCATGGCCTCCTAATAATCCCCATCTCTGAACTGGCTTCATCACTCTGCTCTCCTCCCCACTGAGAGCTGGTGTGTGGGGAGCGGACGGCGCATCACCCAGGTGGGGCTGCACACTGGTGGTGGTGGAGGGGATCCCCATTACCTGTAAAGCGCTTTGAGTGGAGTGTCCAGAAAAGCGCTATATAAGTGTGAGGAATTATTATTATTACATGGGTGTGAGATGCTGCAGTACTAAAGCTCTGAAGCCTGTGCTGACCTCTAGTGTTCACATTGCTGTATTACATCACTAGCATTGGGGGTTGGAATGCAGAACTGGCAAATTGTTACATTCCTGTCTGGAATATTTGGTGCTTGGATTTCTCAGTTCAGGCTATTTCCTGGGACAAGTATAGTGAATAGTTCTTAAATTCTTTCTAAGAAAGCATGTAGCTCCTCTTGAAGGTTGAATCATGAAGCAACCTCAAAGTCCCCTATGAAGGGGACTGTGTCCCCTAAGCAGTCTAGGAGATGCTGTAGGTACCTTTTTGCACACTCTGGGAGTGTTCAGAGGTGGTTAAGTTCTGGAAAACGGTATCTTCCAGTTGGTCTGAAGAGGAATATCCTTTACTCTTGCTAGATAATGACAAGTCTTGGCCTCTCGCAGCGTCAAGGTGGTTGGCTTGTTTTTTTTCCCCCTGGCCAGTCCTGGTCTATTGTGGATCTGTGGTGCCAGTGAGGGGAGAGCTATCAGTCTGTAGGAACTGATTTTATTGATAGGGAGGCTGGAGATATTTTTGTATAGTATTTGCGATGGGGGAGGGGGGGGATTAAAGATTCAGACAACAGTTTCAAGACTTTATTTTTCACATGTGTAGGACTTAAGGTATGCAGGACATACCTAACAGTTACTGGCTGCCTTAAGCTTGTAAGTAGCTGTTGTATTAGAGGACAATCGCATGCAACGCAAGTAAAACAGAACTTAACCTTTTTACCAGCTGTTGGGGAAGTTCATGCAGTTGTGAACATCACTCTCCTCCTCTTTATTCACAGACCTGAATGGAGTGTGCAGCAACTCCAGTGTTCCCAAGTCAACATCGGAGATGGCAGACTACTTGTTGTAAGCACCTCTCTTAACTTTGTTCTTCAAACAAACGCCTTCCAGCCCAGTTTACTTAGGTGGCAGACCAAAAAAAAAACATCTGTTCAATCCTCTCCTCTTCCCTCCTTCTCTTCTTCTCCTCTTCCATCCTGCTCCCTTCTCTTCCTCCGCCTGCGTGCAGAAAATACACCGTGATCGCATCCCAGGAGCAGCGGCAGAGCTACAAGAACGACTTCAACGCGGAGTACAGCGAGTACCGGGGCCTGCACGCCAGGATAGAGCGCATAACCCGCCAGTTCACCGTGCTCGACTCGGAGCTGAAACAGCTCCAGCAAGGCACAGACAAGTACAAGGTACACGGCTCTTCACTCTGCCAGCTGGCGAGATGGACAGCCTTGTCCTTGCCCTGGCCTAAGATACGTGTGAAGGCAGGCCTCACGAGAGAGTCCTTAAACATCGCTGCTCTGGAGACTGGCCAGCGGTCGTGGCTTTCACTCATTCTAGCCAGCTGGGGTTCTCAACCAGAGGTCTGGGATCTCCTTGCACTCTTCAGTCATCACCTTCCTGGCCTGCAAATAGACCATTTTTGCCCCCAAACCTCACTGTATGTAAAATTCATCGATCTGCTGCAGTGGAGCTGCTCAGTGAGCAACTAGATCTGCAGCAACAGTGAATCATTTTTGCTTATAAAATCCCCATCGAGTGAATGGGAGCTGTTTTTTTTATAGCCTTTTTTTTTTATTTAAAGCCACCTCATATAGAATAGGTCCTTGTGTATTTTTCACCTCTTGGCTCCTAACTGTGAGCCCCTCGACCGTACAAGATGGAGAGAGGGAGAGCAAGGAAGTGTGTGCAGACTCCTCCAACCCACCCACCTTCGGGACAGACGTCTTTTAACACCTCACAGGCAAAAGATCCGCACCAGATCAGTGCTGATTGGTGGAGAGGCACGACACTTGGTAACAGCACAGCATGCCTGCAAGAGCCCAAGAGGCTGAAAGCTGGACGAGTCCTGATCACCTGATCCCACCCTATACTCCTATATTCGGGGGAGGGGGACACTCGGCTACTATTTGTGTATTAGGAAGTCCTATATACTGTCTGCTAGCGTGTGACTTAAGGCTTGAACCCATGATCACAGGGCTCAGCTTGTGGTCAGACACCAGAAATGCCTGGAATTTTTTTTCCTTTCTGAAATCAGTAGTTTTTAATAACTGTAATTCAAGTTTAGTGATGCACCTGTTTTTTGGTCTTTTTCATTGAGGTAAATCCCATGCATGTTTCTTTTCTCTTCACAGACAATCCATAACCAGATTTTGCAAGAGTATCGTAAAATTAAAAAGGTAAGGTTCTACAAAGAAACCTCATTTTCATGGCACTGTAAAGTCAAACTGAGCATCGTAGTGATGAAAGTGCAACTCCCAGCCAAATTGATCCTTCATCACAAGACTAATTTGGTTGTTTGTTTTTTTTTGCTTTACAGACTAATCCAAACTATACCCAAGAGAAGAATCGGTGTGAATATCTACACAACAAGCTTGCACATATAAAGAAACTGATAGCAGAATATGATCAACAGCAACTGCAGAACTGGCACTAGTACTGTTCTCTTCTTTTGGTGTTATTTTTTGTTTTTTGGGTGGGGCTGGGGGTTTTGGAAACCAGGAAGAGAATGAGCGGACTCTGCTTCTGTCCGAAACGCTTCGTTTCAAAGATGCCAAGAAGGGAGAGTCTTGGTCGCCCTCAGTGGGGACCGAAGTGGTCGGAGAAGGCACAATGAGGGCATGACCTGGCATGTTTCTAACTCCAGGGGGCAGTATCACACCTACAATTCTTTGTCTTAAATTTCATTTTGTTGTTGATCTCCCCCCCCCCCTCCCCTAAAAGGCACAGGAGTCTCCTAAAAGTGTGAAAGGGAATTCCAGACCCTTTAGGAGATCTCCCAAAAATGAGTATTCATGCTTAGGAATCTGGGAGCTCATAGCTTTGATAAGGATTCAGCAGAATGTATGCCAAATGTTATCAGTTATTTAAAAGAGAATTTAAATATTTTTTCTTCCTATTTTGTTGAAATGGAAGGTTCCGATGCAAACGCATGTGAATAAGTTGTATTAAATTTACTCCTTTTTTTTAATTTATTCTTTTTTTTGGACTTAAATAGGGATTATAATTTGTTAGAATTTTACACTCCTCCACACCAGTGCTACAAAACAGTCTTTTGGTTTTGTCTTCTTGCCCTGTCAGCCATTATTTTTTGCAGATTCTGCCTAAGAAATTCATGACCCTTTGTTGGAGCTCTATTTAACTTTTTAAAAATACCTTTCCCTGGTGAAAGCAGTAGGATGTTATGCACCTGCACTGGTGCTAATCCTTAAATGTTCTTACCATCATCTGGCAGCAGTTATCGAGCTCACCATCGAAGATTCTAACTTGCTTGAAAAAAAGCAAGGAACAAGTTTCTTTCTGTCTGTTTGCCTGACCTGATGGGATCAGTTGTTGGTAACGTTGAGGTCATAACCCAGGTCTCGGTTAACATTGTCAGTGTGATCTGTTTTGCAGTGGCTACAAGTCAAAACAAAGCATTTGATACTTTAATTGTCACTCGGAGGATGTTTAAAAAAGTCTCTCATGAAACTCAAGTTCTGTCATGTGACAGTAAAGCTTTATATGCCAAAAAACTTTTTTTTTTCCTCTTTTGCTTTTTGTTGTGCCCTTTACGTTTCACCTTTCATCACTGAATTGTTGCTCTTATAAGTCAGCACCATGGATTCGTTGCTTATAAACCTCAACACTCCAGTGCTGGTTTCCCTTACACTTGCACTGGTGTTTAAAGCATTTGCACAAAAGAAAAAGCTTAATCTTGATGCATCTTGAGAGAAGAGTTCTGGTTAGTTGCTGTACAGTTCTGGTATTTATTGTACAGAGTGTAGAGATGGAAAGCATTTGTATGCAAACATTTCTAGCCTCTGCATTTACAAAATCGTCCTCTTGAGTTGGAAATTTCGACTGTTGCCATACTTGAAGGTCTCGAAGATTGTTGACCCTAATATTTTAATGGTCTTGAATCCTTGTGTAACTGAACCCAACTGAATGGCTGTAATGAGTCTGAAGTTTTGAAGCTGTCTGCTGTTGCTGGTTTATAACCAATCCGTGACTCCTTTTGTGAACGTTCAGTGTAGTTCACCATCAGTTATTTCCCTGAGATCCCAACTGGCTACATCTTAGATGCACTTTTTATATGAACATTAATAATCCAGCACTTTAACTGTGAGAGAACGCCTTGTCATGTGCACCTGGGGATCAGTCATGATGGCAAATAGCAGGAGATTTCCTCATCCCCGATGGAAGTTTGCCTTTGGCATTCAGGCGTGGTTCTTGGAGAGTCAGGTGCTTTACAACACTTCTGATTTTAATGGCTTCTACATAGAGCTCTGGAGGAAAATACAGATCTCTTCCTTGAGGGTTTTACATGTGTGTGCTGTGTCCGTGGCTAGAAGCATTTATGGAGCCAGGGTGGACTGATATAACGGCACATTTTTTTCCTTCATCTGCCATTCATTTTCCAGCTCATATTGCCAACGGTATTGATCTTCTGTTTGTAGAGGTGTAGGCGGGGGGTGGGGAGAAAAAATAATCTTAATATCAAATAACACTTTTGTGACCGTGGCGGGGGGGACGCTTCTATGAATATCAAAATCTGAAACCTACTCCTGCTTCTGTCTGTGCAAGAATGTATGTACATCACAGCCTCTCATCACATAAACACACACACAAACTGGTGTGTTTGAGATCCAGGGCCCTCCATTTGCCTATGGTGCAAGACTAGTCTTGAACTCTTCTCATTAACTGCCCTGGCCTGTTCGAGACATTGTGCGAAGTTTGTCGCTATTTTTAGATGTATTGCTTTGAATGTTGGCTTCGGCGAACATGAATTTAACGCTGCACGAGTTAATGATTAAGCCCTTTGAGGTTTTTCTGTTGGCTCTGGTGCCACGCTGCTTTACCGTGTGTGAGGGATGACTGCAGCTGAAGGGCTGCCTCTCGGAGAGCAAGTAGCTGTGCCTTGCTGATGCAACCGTTTCTTCTTCATCCTACCCCAGCCCCAGCTTCTGCTGACCCTGCTATCTGCATGCAGTCAGGCAACTAGTGTTGGCATCAGCCTAAAAAAACTGTGGTAGGGTGAGCCTGCCTTTTCAAGGGTATAGTAGATCAGATGCGTGCAGCCTCTGCATACCCAGTGTCCCCAGGTGTTTAGTTTTCAATGCATCTGTACTTGACGGCATTATGGAACGATTCGCTGTTGTACTTGGAATAAGGTGTTATTTTTGACATTGCTACTGTCAGGCACGGGCAGTAAAGACTCCACTGCGTTTGTAGAGCTCATCAGAATGTGTTGCTTAGAGTCCTTCGTTAAGTCCATGTTCCTGATATCTGCAGCCTGAGCTGTCTGTGCCAAGATCACCCACTGCGTTTGAGGAATGAGCTGTTTTACACGTGGAGCTGACAGAGGGGTTAACACTTTTAACGCTAAAAACCCAAAGCAGGCTTTAAAGAAATAAAATGAGATTAAAGCTGATTTTGATACTTCATTCAAACAATCTTCCATTTGTGTGATTTGCTGTTAGCATTATGTGTCCTTAGATTTTTAAAACATATTTGGCTGACTTGAGACCGTGCACAAGTTTAAAAGGTTTGCAAGTACTAATGTTTGCATATTTGCTGCGTAAAGAAAAGTTTAAAACCTTTTGAGCATTTCTGATGCCAAACTTCCTTGCAAAGAAACTAATGTAGGTTTGGCATTTCTCAAGTTTGTACAAAACTAAGGCAATGTAAGACATTTTAAAACTAATTCTAAATTAAAGGAATTTCAATCTCTCAATCATCAAAGCTCTCTGCACTCCTACATTGTCAGTAGTCTTTAAAAGAAAAGATCCAGGCTTTTTGTCAATTTAAATCCCTGAGGCTTCTTGCTATATCTGCTATATTGGGTTTTTCTGTTGTAAAATCGTGATTTGATAGAGAGGGTAAGCCATTTCGGGGGGAATAAAATGGAGATGGCGACAGGATTCTGCCTTAGAAAGTGCCTGTGCACTTTGTGAATCTCCTTCATGCTCACAGGGGCTTGATCAGAGTCGCAGTGCGTTACTTGAGTCCAAAGTAATACCAGGCAGCCAGGCACAAAGATGAAAGCTTTGTGACCTGACCTGAGCAGCCTACCCCCTAAAGCAAGCAATTACAACATCGTTTGTGCATGGTGCAGCTGAGAGGCAGTGGAAAAGCCCTGCAGCTACAGCTTGGCCAGACTATCCGGCTCCTCTGTCACTGGGGAAGACTGTGAGAAGGGGGACTGAGTTCACTTGTATTGCTCTTCAGTACAGGCAGCACCCTTTCCCACAACTATTCAACAGGTAGCCTAGGTCATCAACTGACTGCGGAAGAGCTTGTAATGCATCACTAGGAATTATTTTAGGCTTGTGTGTGTTTAATGTGATTAGCTTTTCTTTAAAGGTTGGTTTACAGCCACCAAGACAAAGCCATCTTCATCTCAGACACTTAGTTGCCCAAGAACCTTAACTTCCCCCCTCAAAGGGCATTGCATATCCAAAGTCCTATTAAAACCCTTTTCATCTCCGTGCATTGTTACACCACGAGACCTGGGTAAAGGTTTGAACCCTCGTTGATTGAAAGACGGTGGCACTGTGTAGCTCACTGTGCCCCTGTATAGCAGGGGTATCTCATCCTGGTCCTGGAGAGTTTCAGTCTGGCGAGTTTTGTAGTTCACCATTAACATCTGAAGATGCAGAGCAGCTCCTTTGTGATCAATTAAACAGGTGATCATTAAATCATTAAGAATCCATTTAGGACTAAAATAGAACTCCTCCTGAGTGCTTCTCTTAGTTGAACAGATTACTTGCTTAACGGGTGTCCCTGGTCTCTGAATGACTAAGCTATCCAGGAGCACAGGGGGAGGTCCCTGCTGTAAACCCAGAGGCCTTGAGGCCATCGTGAGGTGAAGTGAAAGCTGGGAAGGCTGCAGCACCTGTTGACTGAGGACCTGAGGGTGATCTCAAATGAAACACCACCAGCATTGTGCTGCACATTTTTGTTTTTGGACCACATGGGAAAAGAGGGTCAGTCTTCAAGCTTAGCAGTGCTTGTTGCGGGAGAATATTGATGGATTTTTCCATCTGCTGCTTCTGCATCCTCATGGTTTTGCTTTACCGGAGGCTTCATTGCATTTTCTTCATCACTTTGGCCCTTTTGTTTTCGTTGGGGGGGGGGGGGGGGCACTTTAAAACCATGGTCAGAATAGATATGCTGGTTTTAAGATTTTTATTTCTGCCTGGTGGAAATGCAGAATTCGTACAGTATATGCACTCGCGTTTCAAATCTGTTTTTGGCGGTGGGAGGTTGCTCAACAAGTTGGAGACCTTGCTGTGCAGCTGGTGGCCACACGAGGGGGCACTTCCTCACAGCAATGGTGCCTGTGCCAGTGCACAGACTACCCAGCTCACTAACAAGGCATTGCTTTCACAGCTGCTCTACAGATTCTCATTTTGACTTCAGGAGCTCTCCCATTATGAAGCCAATTCTCCATCTGCACATTCATGCAGTGGCAACATGCATCAAGGGCGACCAGCAAGAGACTGAAGTATTGCAATTGTTCTGTCTTGCAAACTTGCTGTCAGTGTTTTTCTTAAAACAAACTCTTGTCCTTCATCTGAATTGTGCTGACTGTTCATGACTGGATCCTTGTCCTTCTGATGAGGACTTGCCAAAAACCAGTCAGCTGGAAAGTATTGGAAGGATATATGCTGTTACAAATACGCTCTAAAAGTGCTTTTTTCATGCAGTTTCAAAACCAAAAAAGGAATATTGACTCGATCACTGTTCGTACTGTTTTCAGCAAACCTTTTCGGAATTAAGGGGTTTTGTTCTCATGTAATTCTACAGAGTGATTTTCGCCTGTTAATTGAATTGACACTGGAAGAGTGACTGTTGTGGTAGGTGGAGGTATTGTCACCCTCTTTAAACCCTTAACAGTTAAATCACTTTTAAAACTTAAAAAAACACAACTTGTTTTATGCAGCACATTATGGTCTTTGGAATGGCTTCATTTTTGCAAAGACACCTGCTTTTCAGTCCCTTTGATTTAATCTTGCAGTTGCATAGATTAATTTCTGGACTGGGCTGCAAGCAGTGCACATTGCAGTTGCTGTTAAAAAGTATTCACCCCCCTTGCATAGGGAAATGTGCACAAGAGATGGATCCAGGGCTGATGGCAAAGAGGACAGAATCAGAGACAGCTATTGCATCGCTATTGGCCTCTTGTAACCCACAGCTGTAACTGAGTGTTAATGCACACTGGAGCCGTGAGCTACCCCAGACTCTGTGAGAAACAGCTGAAACGCTGTCTGCTGGACAGTGCTGTTTGAAGGGTTTAATGTTTTTTTTTTTCTTAAGGGAACCGATGACTGTATTTGACTGTTTCAGAATGGAGACAGTTTGTGAATATTTCTTTTTCCAAATGTAACCCATTTGTGGGTCCAAGTAAATTGTTGTATTAAAAAATATATAAATAAAAGTGAAATTCACCTTTTTGTTTTGGTGTGTTTACAGTATATATGCATCTCTCTCGTCCTGCTGCTGCAGTATGTCAATGGATGCTCAGAACCAGGTTTTCTGGTTTATCGAATCTTGTGTCTGTCACCGTTTTGCTACTGCAGCCAAAACACCTTTGAGTGTAGCCATCAATGCACTGTACAGAGCATTTCATGCCCTTTAGAAAAGAAATTGGGCAATCCGGTATATAATAAAGTGAGTGAGCAGCGCTCCTTAAATGTGTGCAAGCTGTTAATACTGATGGGTCGGCGGAGATCCTTATGCAGCACACTCAGAGACTCTCTCTGCTTGGCCTCTCCGTGCTAACTGCACATCCCGGCGCCAGCACTGAAGAAACTCCCTGCAGCTGATGCTCCGCTGGCATTGGTTCCATCCGCTGCCAATCCCTGTCCCAGCGACGCAGGGCCTCTACGGCATCTTCCGTCTTTCTGAAGCTCTGCTCCCCCCCCCCCCCCGATTTTCTCGTAGCTTCCCTCTCTCGTTCACTCAGTTGCCTTCTGTTACATAACCTCTATTGTTCTCACAATCCTCTCTCAACCCCCCTGCCCCCCTCCTCGTTCCAAATCTCTAGGATTTTTCCACTTGCTTTTTTTCAAAGATTAGAAGCCAGGAGGGTGCAGTGATTTAGTCCACACTGCATATATCTATTATAAAAATTGCCTTTAAAATTTTTTTTTTTTTCCCCCATTGTGCTTTTTCTCTCTCTCTCTCCCCTCCTGCTACCAGGGAATGCTCTAGAAAAACGGCAAGGAACAGAGCTCTCTGCTCCTAGCTGAGGCTGTGCCATTGCAGTACACTGGAAGATTCCAGGTGTTTTCAGGTCTTCAGTGGTCCGTGTGCAATTTCTTTCCAACCGTGCCCTGATGCCTGCTGGCGTTGACTTTAGCCTCTGTTCTGAGGGGCATTGTGGGAAACGGCAGAAGGCCAGGGTGGTGATGGGAGTAGAGGAGTCAAGCTGGAAGATGCGGACTGACATGCCGTCTTTCACCCACAACTCTTTTCATTGCTAGTTTGCCTGCAATATTTCAGGATACCCGGCTGAAGCTTGTTCATGGTGGCCATCTCTGGTTAGTTCCGCTTTCTTTTGTTTTGCAAAACAAAATGCTAATCTGTTGACGTGTCTTTAGATGCACCTCATCTTGTTTAGGTGCTTGAAATGCAGATCCTGTGCCTTTTTTTTTCCTCCCTCTCACTTTGACTTACTGGAAAGTTGAGATGCAGTAGGAGGATTTGCTCAGAACCGGACAGTTCAATCTGGACTGGACTGAATTTTTTTCCTTTGAAGCAGTAAGATTTATTCATTGCAGATCCACGTTCAGGCCTGTACACTGACCTGAATTTGATCCCAGAACTCCGGAGCCCAAACATTCAATTATAAACTCAGGGTGCTGTGCAAATACTCTATGCATAACGTTTAAAGTACACAAATTAAAAGGTATGGTATAGGGATAGATTCTGTCTCCTTGCTAACTAGAAAAGCATAACTAATGTTCCCAAAGGGTCACATGAATCTTTGCAGAAACAGTCCTTTGTGTTGCTTGCACTTCAAAGTCATCTGTAAACCAGAGCTGGTATAGTTGCTAGTCTGATTGCTGCGAGGGGTTAACCTACGTTGAGATTAACTACTTGGGATGTCTTCTAAATGTACTTTTCGGCACTCTCCTGTTTTCGTAGTACTAAAGAGCCATTTTTTCTTACTGACCACCCCTTATAACCTTCACAGTCTGACTGGTTAGTTTGCATGCGTTTCAGCTCTTTCCTGGGGATTTTCCACCCCGGCTTGGAGTCCATTTCACAAACGGCCCTTCCCAGAAAGAAGTAGCCTGGCCTTGATGCGCTGATCTAGCTGGTGAACTGGAACGCGGAGCATGAAACTGATGAGCCCTGCAAGCTGAAGAGCAGGCTGTTCTTCTGTAGTGGCATCATCACTTGGCCCTGCTTGGAGTCAGACAGTCCTGCAGCAGGAGGGCCAGAACTGCGTTTAATTCCATCAGCGAGGAACGTTGTGGAATATGCCAAGTCAGGAAAATCAGCGATCTGCTGCCTGGGGGAGTGCACTCCTGTAAGCCCTCAGCTGCATGCCAGACCCCCAGGGCATGTCCCCTCCTCCTCTCCCACAACTCCGGTTCGATCCTGCAGCCCCGCCGAAGGGGAGCAGGTTAAGGGGATTTGATCTCGTTAACCCGAAACGGGTCTCGGCAGACTGACGTGCAATAAGCAGTGCAGGCAGTAGCCTTGTAAGACACAGTCTCTTCTCAGTCTTGCTCTCTGGGCAGCAGGCCCTGCAGGGAATTTCTGTGGAATTTTCCATTTTCCAGCACTTGCAGTAGCACAGCTGCCCTCTGTACAGGGATTGTGCAACTTGACAGCACAGGCTGGGAAATTTCCGGAAACGGCCAGCGCGAATTTGAGAGCAGAAACATTGGCACTGCTGGTATCTGTTCTGGTTTTTTCCCAACAGGAATGTGCTTTCCTCCACGTGTCTCTGTATTGAGGAGAGGAAGGCCGCCTGCTTATCCTCCCCCCCCCCCCCCCAGTTGAGGGAAATGCGTTTTGTGCAGAGCCCATCCGCTGGGAATCTGTGGTCGGTGAGAGCTCTCGGGTTTCGTACAGCACAGGCCTCATTCCTGGCAGATTCCTCAGGCCGGTGAAGAAGCAGGACTGGTGTAAAAGGAGTGCCTGAGGCCAGCAGGACTGGGCGTGTCACGCCGCATTCCTAGAAAGACTCCGAGCCGATCTACTTGTCCGCCTTTCCTTGAATTTGGAGCGGTGCTCTGCTGAGCGTTGCAACACCAGCACTGCTCCTGCTTTGCTTTAGGAAAATTTTTGCCCCACTGCCGCCAAGGTCTGCAATGTCATCCGTCCAACAGAAAAATGTTACAAAATGAATTGTGCAATACAGAATCCTAATTGCTTTGTGCAACAGTACAACACCCAGTAATCCAAGGTGCAAATTAAGTTGTCAATTATAACTTGGGTGATAATTAGCAAGACAGGTCTTGCTTTGTCCTTGATCCTGTATTTGAGGGCAGCAGGGTCCAATGTTTAACATCTCTGATTTTATTTTGCTAAGAAGTTGCATCCCCTTTTTCTTGGTTGTTAATTGAAACAATGTGCACATGCTTGTTGCATATGCATCATCCAACGGCTTTAATTGCTTAATTGGAGTAATCATGCTCGGCTTTGGTTTAATCTGTGCCCTCGTCACCGAATGGAATCAGACCTGTACAGAGCAGGCCTGTGACCATCCATCTTGAATAAGAGAGAGTGAGCTGGAGCGCTACTCTACGTACAGTACAGTATCCTGTACACAAGGGGGGGGTTTGAGATCCCAATTAACCTGGAACACGTCTTTGAGGTGTAGGAGAAAACCAGAACAAGCATGTGACCATGGGGAAGGACACACTGACCCCTCCAGGACAAGGACTGGACACCCTGCAGACACACTGACCTCCAGGACCAGGACTGGACACCCTGCAGACACACTGACACCTCCAGGACCAGGACTGGACACCCTGCAGACACACTGACACCTCCAGGACCAGGACTGGACACCCTGCAGCCACAATGTCCCTCGATCCTCAAAGAATGTACTGAACTACGTGGAACAGAAGTCAAACTGCTGCGTGTTCTCTACCTTTAAACCAGGCGCTAACTGAAAGATGCCTATAGTCTAGAACGTTCTGGTGAGGCTGAAGTTCACCCCTCACTGTGCTACGGGCCAGCGGGCTCCCGCCCAGAAGAATTTTATTGTTAATTAAGAGAGACTGTGTTACCCATCTTAAAAATGACAGAAGTGCGACATTAGCCGCCCTGCTACGGATGGACGTGTCCCGTGTTTATTTGCACAACACAGTACAGACGCTTTCCGCAAACGAGTCGGCTGCGGACTTAGAAGACGGCAGCACTGTTTTTCAACCAGAGGAGTCGATGCAAAGCTTCCAGAGTCTTCAGAAAAGCCGCTTCCGGCTCCCACGAGGAATCTCAGCTCTGTCTCAGGCTGCGGCGCGCTCGTTACGCATGCGCAGCGGCTCGGTTTCGTCACCAGTGAAATGCCGGTTCTCAGGACAACGCGTCCGCCGCGCGGATGCTGCTTCAAGTTCGTGTCAGCGAGCATCACACCACCCCGGGGGGCGGGGCGAAGGGGCCCGGCGGGGCGGGGCCTTTTTCTATAAGTGCCGGGAGTCAGCTGAGGCGTCGCAGTCCGACAATTTGAACAAAACGCGCACATCGCTTGGTGTGGTGTGTCTCGCAGCCGGTCTGCAAACTCCGCTTCTCCTCATCTCGTCTACGTCTGTCTCAGACGCTAATCGGCTTCCCAGAGAGACTCATCTCTGCACTCGCTGTCGGAACGAAGACTACAGCATCCGTTTGCATTTTCGGCCTTCCCTTTGTGCGTCATAATCCCAGACTGTAATAAAGGTAGGCTTTTTTCTTTTACTAGTGTCTTCGTGTTTCGTTGAAGATGATTTAGCCTAGCCTGTTAGTGCGATGCCCTGTAGACGCTGTATTTGAACTGCAGAAAACTGAGGAAATACGAGAAACTACCTCGGAAAAACGCTGTCACTCCACAGACAGTGGGAGCAGGTCTGTAGCCGTGCTGTTCACACAGGTGTGACCTTGTAGAGACGCGCTCCGTGCTTCGGGCTGTGTTTTGGTATGTGTGCAGATCTGGGTGTGAGGTGAACTTCCGGGCAAGGTTATAACCTAGCGATTAAACACGTGACGCGTAATAACTCTCCTTAGAAGCAATGCTAACATCACCGGGATAGGAGAAGAGGACAAACTGGGATATTCATGTTTACATTTACCGGTCAGCACGGGTTCTAGATTTGATTAATCAAGTGTTCCTAAATTAGCCCCCATCACGGCCCGCCTCAGGCTGAAGACGGTGTCATTCAATGGAATGCACTTGCAAAATGAACCGTTCATCCGAGTGGTGGCGTCTGGGAAACTGCTGGACTGTGGCACCAGGTACCAGCCGGCTGGCCCGGGATTCAGAGTTTCCGACTCTTCGTAGTACCGAGCTCCGGAGAGGGGAAGCAGTCTGCGGTTAGGAACCACCGCTGTCGAAAATCGTGCTCCCCACCCACCAGAAGTAGCTCAGCTCGGAAAGAGCTTTCTGGAAGACTCGTGCAGTCGGCATGCCGTCACGTGCATTGCGGAACGGAAGTAAACATGGGCGCCCATTGGCCGAGGCGCGGGGTGACGTCACCACTGTCCTGCTTGCTTTGTCTGGTGGAAAATAACAGGGCTGCCGAATACCCGCAGTCAAGCGATGTTATTCGAAATCAAAGCAAGGACGTTATGGTACCAACAGTTTTTATGTGTATTATCACGCCATGATAATGTGAAATGTGTGTATTTTGCATTAGCGTGCGGTCAATGTTGGTTAAAGGTTATAAATGACGACACCTTAGGGCGAGTAAAAATTAGTGTGAACAATACATCTATTGCTCCTTTTCAGGAAGAAGGAAGAGTTCTAAAATGATCTATATGTAAACGCTACCTTGCGTGTTACGTAGGCTGTATTTGCAGGAATCTGTTTAATTTAAACGTGTAAAATGAGGCAACTACTGTAGAATGAACGGACTGCATGTTTTTCATTCATCAAAATTCATACAAAATCAGAGCAGCGAGGCAGGTTTTCTGTCGACACATTACTGGGCTGTAATGCACAGAAACTATCGCTTCGGATCTGTCAGTCGTGGAAGCTCGTGGATGTCTGCGGTGTCGCACAGTCCGCTCGGTCGCGTTGTCCTCGCGGTTATGCGAGTTCAGGTCATTGAGATTCTCTGCGGGTCTTCGAAGAGGAACTTTCTGGAACGCAAGTTCGGCGTCTGTAGTCCCCCCGTAGGAAAGAAATGCAGCACGGAAAAGTACTGGCTGGTCTGCGCCTTGTGATTGGCCGCGGGGATAAGAAGTACGTCACGGGCTTTCGTCCAATGGGATTCCAGTATCTAATCCGAGAAGGACTTGACTGTACATGAGATTAGGAGGTGCGTGTGCGCACTGCAGGGTTTAACATCTTTTTTTTTTGTACGACAGACCAAGATTCAACCTTTGTGCAATGACATTTCTTTGAAGAGGAAAATCACTGCGCTGCTTAAGTTATTTATTGCTGGGGTCTTTTGTCCTTGCTGTCATTTTATGTGCTGCGCAGTTTAAAGCATTTGCTCTTTTACATTTAGTCATCCAGCCCTCAATGAGGATCTCTCTTGCACACAAAGCCACCGTAACTGCATGATTGCGTCGGTCAGTACCCATCGGGAAATGCTGGAAGTCTTTTTATTGTGCTTTGCAGGTCTCCATCATGGCTACACAGATCCGAGTGGACAGCTCCAATGTGAAATACACTGAGCGTTACATCGAGGCACAGTACTCCTACCACACCAGCGCTGTCTCCCGGGACAATGGCACGTACAAGGTAACAGAGCCGAGCTCCTGTGCCCACTCGTGCTTGTGGCTCCGTCATCCTGCAGCTCACAGCTGGCAGCCCACTGAAGGAACGCTAAGGCTGCTGCTGGAAGAGGTGTTAGTAGGGCCAGCAGGGGGCGCTCACCCTGCAGTCTGTGTGGGTCCTAATGCCCCAGTATAGTGACGGGGACACTGTACTGTAAACAGGCGCCGTACTTTGGATGAGACTGAGGTCCTGACTCTCTGTGGTCATTAAAACTCTCAGGGCTTTTTTCGGAAAGGGTAGGGGTGTTACCCCCAGTGTCCTGGCCAAATTTCCCCCTGGCCTTTACCAGTCATGGCCTCCTAATAATCCCCATCTCTGAACTGGCTTCATCACTCTGCTCTCCTCCCCACTGAGAGCTGGTGTGTGGGGAGCGGACTGGAGCATCACCCAGGTGGGGCTGCACACTGGTGGTGGTGGAGGGGATCCCCATTACCTGTAAAGGACTTTGAGTGGAGTGTCCAGAAAAGCTCTTTAAGTGTGAGAAATTATTATTTTTTTATTATTATTATTATTATTATTCAGCTCCTTATGTTTAACGCCAGTAGTGGTCCAGTCCAGGACATCTTGCAGTAGTCATGATCTCCTCGACTGGGCAGGCCGCAGTGCGGCTCCGAGCCGGGCGCTGACCCCCCGTGTCTCCCGTCGGCCGCAGGTGACGCCGCGCAGCACGCACTACACCTTCCGCACCGAGAGGAAGCTGCCCAAGCTGGGCGTGATGCTGGTGGGCTGGGGCGGCAACAACGGCACCACGGTGACCGCAGCCGTGCTGGCCAACAGGCTGGGCCTGAGCTGGAGGACCAAGACGGGCTGGAAGGTGAGGGGGTGTAGGGCCGCCGCCACCGCCGTTCCAAATAGTGCACCCCTTCAAAAAAAATCAAATGATTGCTCTCATGAAGCAACTAAAATACAAAATACACTTGGATGATGTGTGTGTGCACAGTGCATCCCTTTTTCCTGGTTGCTAATTGAAACAACTTCTTGGCGAAATAAAATCGGAGATGTGAACTACTGGACCCTGCCGCCCTCAAATCCAGGATCCAGGACCTGGAGCAAGACCCGTCTTGTTAATTGTCGCTCGAGTTATAATTTACAACTTCTATTTGCATCTTGGATTACTGGGTGTTCTACTGTTGCACAAAGCAATGAGCACTTCTGTATTTTACCTTGTTAATTTGTTCCAGCTGTAACGCAGGCTGGCAATGCAGAGCGGGAGTAGACCAGGATATCGTGTTCATTTCATGGGACACTGGGTCAGAACGGGTACTTGAATACGCCGCCGTGGTGTTTGCGGTCCCCTTTGTCTGGGATGCTTCATCTTTGCACCTAAACCGGGAGCAGAATCTGACTGTGTTGCTGCCTTTCTCTCTCCGCTCTTTAGAAAGCCAACTACTTCGGCTCTTTGCTCCAGGCCTCCACTGTGTGCCTGGGAACCGGGCCCGAGGGCGACGTCTTCGTGCCCTTCCATGACCTGCTGCCCATGGTGCACCCCAACGACATCGTCTTCGATGGTAGGTGGGGAGTGGGTGTTCCTGTCTGATGCTTTTGCACCCACTTCAGTACAGCAGAGAGAAACACTCCCAGGTGTCGGTGCTGCAGGTAAAAACGCCACAGGCAGCGCTCTCGCCCCAGGGCGAGACTCCTGAGCACCCCTCTTCCTCTTCCTGTCTCTGCCAGTGCTTGTTGCGCGTGTGAAAAGAAGCGTTTATTTGCTGCACACCAGAGGCTGAATTGATCATCGGAATATGGTGAATAGTGCAATTAAAGAAGCAATAACTGTACTTGGTATTGCATTATTTCCTACCTTTTGTACATTCAGTTATTTCTTATGCAGCTTCTGTTGAATTGGTTAACTTGCAGTTCTGTAACGCATGGTGTTTCTTTGTGCATGCTCTGTATTTATTATATGATTCTCTGTATACAGCCATTAATAAAACATTTTACTGGACTGGAAAAATAGTAAGTTCTAAGTGTCTAACTGGCTCGTGTGCCTCCTGGTCTGCAGGATGGGACATCTCCTCACTGGATCTGGCCAGGGCTATGGAGCGTGCCCAGGTCCTGGACTGGTCCCTGCAGGAGCAACTGCGCCCCCACATGGCCAAACTGAAGCCCCGTCCCTCCATCTACATCCCCGAGTTTATCGCAGCCAATCAGGGGGAGAGAGCTGACAACGTCCTTGGGGGGAGCATGGAGGAGCAGGTAGGGGGACAGACTGATATCTGGGCTGTCGGAGCAGGGCGCCGCCCTGCTGGACCAGGGGAGCCCATAACTCTGCTTCCTGCCAGCCTTCATGTAGACACAGCTGTGACATAGAGTACGGTTCTGCAAGAGATCAGTGTAGGGCGGCAGCAGCAGTACTTTGGGTGGGGGGGGGGAATGAATACTCCTAAATCAAGGAGGCATCCCTCTCTCAAGTGAGGGCTTCCACAATTGTTGAGTGGGAGCTCCAGACGATTAAAATTTGATGTCACCCTGTTTTGCTTTTTTAACTTCACCTGTGAATCAATTCTGTATGTAATTTTTAAGAAAATATTTTAAGCAAACTTGTCAGGGGAGGGGGGAAAAAATAGAACCGTTTGTGATCTAGCACTGAGCATTCATATCTGGTCAAGTCCCAATCTTCTCCCATAATGCACTGAGGAACCTGCTTTTCTCAGCGCTTGAAGGACTGGGCTGAAGGCCGCCTGCCTCTCTGTGTTGCAGATGGAGCAAATCCGAAAGGATATCCGGGACTTCAGGCAGCAGAGCAGAGTGGACAAGGTGATTGTGCTGTGGACGGCCAACACCGAGCGCTTCTGCGACATCGTCCCTGGTGTGAACGATACCGCGCAGAACCTGCTCAAAACCATCCAGGTGAGAGAGGGCAGCCGGTACGGCCTGGGCTTACTTCGCAAGGACTGTAGCCTGAGCTTGTGCGGGGGGGGGGCGTGTTGACTAACCTCTGACCCCACCTGGAGTGTGGTCTGTTGCAGTTTGCAGTTTGCCCATGAAGCTGCTGTCATGTCCCTGTCCCTTGCTGCTGGCTCCCATGATTCCTCACCTTCAGACGTGACTGGGGTGTAGACCCTGGATGACCTCAGCCTGACCTTGTTCTTGTCCAGTCTGTTTTTCCATTTCCCTCCTTTGGGTGGACGTGCTGCCCAGTGGCTTGAGCTGCTGTGCTGGTCGGGTCACCACAGCTGCTCCTGGGTGCTGTTCTCATGGCCCCCAGGTGGTGGCAGACCTGTAGGACTGGATTCTCAAGGGCTCGGTCTGTTTTGCAAGAACTGGGGGAGTGGTTGCAGACTACAGTTCACATTGGTTTTGTTGTGACCTGTTTGCCAGTAACCTGAGGGCAGAAAACCTGCTAATAACTGGTAGTCCATCTACCAAGTAACAGTGGTGTCCATGTGTTGTAAAATACTGTTTCAGGTATGTGTCAGACCTCAGGGGTTTTACTGTGAGAGAACTCGGACTTGAGAGAGTTAAAGAAGCAGTCCTGTGTTTCCTCAACTGAAACAGGCATATTTTGTCACCATGTAGAGAGCAGGGCTCTGGTTGGGATGGATGTTGGGATATACAGAGCAGCTACAGCTACTGGACCAGCAGGAAAATGGGAGTACGATCACTTGTATATAAATAATAATCCAGGTGGGGAGCTGCGTCAGCATGCGTAGGCTCAAAGGAACAAGTAAGAGGTTTATTCCCTGCTGAAAAGAGAAGAGAGAAAAGGTAGCTCACACCTGAAGAAGACTCCATGGCTGAAATGTTGTTTTCTTTCTTCTCATTTTAGCATGGAATAAACCTCTTACTATAAATAATTATTTTATGTGGAGCTTCTAAATATATTTTAAAGCACTTAACAGGAAAGAGTTTTAAAAGTCACAGAGGGGTTTAGGATGCAGTAGAAGTTGCGAAGGGGCAGAGACAGACATCATTTGAATAAAAGCCTCAGTATCGTATTTTGCACAATATAGAATTGGTGCCTAGCTCAAGCTGCTCAGTATCCTGCTGGATAAGATCAGATCACTTTATTGGCCCTATACAATTTCGTGCATTAGGAATTTCTTTTCGCAGACCCCAGCTTGCTCTCCATGAGACACACAGACAGGGAGAGAAGCTGGGGGTCAGAGCGCAGGGTCAGCCATTTATAC